TTAAAATCACCCAAAATAATCATAGAGTCGGAAGGCGTAAGCATTGCATTTACGGACTCAAGTAAAGAGACCAGCTGTGTATATACTGATACAAAGAGTTAACTCACCAGCCTGTACACGTACACAGTTAAATTCGGTATATTCAATGACGGGAACACTAACCGCAAAAAGAACACCACCGCCGATTCTGCCCTCGCGGTCGCTCCTGTATATTTGATATTCATTTGGAAGAATTTCGGAATTAAAAATATGAGGTTTGAGCCATGTTTCGGTCAAGGAAATAATATTATAATTGTAGTCAAAACCTTATAAATATAATAATAATAGATTGGCGCTTACAATCTGTGGCGTGGGCCTTGATGTTGTCACACAAAGCGGAAGGACCTACAGTTTTACGCCGACTCCGAACGGCGAGTGTATTTTTATGAGAAGCTGTTTTTCATCGCAGAAATACACTAGGAGATTTGCCATTGCCTGCCGAGGGACGACCGCTCTTAAGAAAAAACCTTTTCCTATATTTTTTGCGATGTTGCTTTGACCAGGGCTTGAACCCAGGCGTTGCAGAGGGAAAGCGTGCACTGCTTACCACTACACCACAGCGGCCGACCTTATAAATATAAGTCAGTTAATTTGGTATTCAAACCTCTAACGGTTTGGTAGTAAATACTTAAATTAGAATTGCGAGTTAGTTTTTTGAATCAGAATTAAGATTCGAAATTTTAGCTACGTTGTTATTACTTTTATTAGGTTTATACTCAAACTCGCGCTCATACGCCCCGGTCGGCCAAAATGAATTATTTAGTAGTGAATCAAAATCTTCGGCAGCTACATCAATTTTAAAAGATGAAATATCCGATCGTATTTATAATTACATTTACAAATAAATACTTCTTTAGTTTTAATCTTAGTCGATATGTAGGACTTTATATCATCCGAAGAATTGNATAATAGATTGGCGTTTACAATCTGTGGCGTGGGCCTTGATGTTGTCACACAAAGCGGAAGGACCTACAGTTTTACGCCGACTCCGAACGGCGAGTGTATTTTTATGAGAAGCTGTTTTTCATCGCAGAAATACACTAGGAGATTTGCCATTGCCTGCCGAGGGACGACCGCTCTTAAGAAAAAACCTTTTCCTATATTTTTTGCGATGTTGCTTTGACCAGGGCTTGAACCCAGGCGTTGCAGAGGGAAAGCGTGCACTGCTTACCACTACACCACAGCGGCCGACCTTATAAATATAAGTCAGTTAATTTGGTATTCAAACCTCTAACGGTTTGGTAGTAAATACTTAAATTAGAATTGCGAGTTAGTTTTTTGAATCAGAATTAAGATTCGAAATTTTAGCTACGTTGTTATTACTTTTATTAGGTTTATACTCAAACTCGCGCTCATACGCCCCGGTCGGCCAAAATGAATTATTTAGTAGTGAATCAAAATCTTCGGCAGCTACATCAATTTTAAAAGATGAAATATCCGATCGTATTTATAATTACATTTACAAATAAATACTTCTTTAGTTTTAATCTTAGTCGATATGTAGGACTTTATATCATCCGAAGAATTGTCTTTAGCAAATCTAGAGACAAAGATTGATCTTCTCGGAAGAATTACAACCAAAATTTTGGTAGTGGCTTCAGATATATGGAATTCCGAGTTATTCGGAGGATCAATGTTAGATATGGATGGTAACGCTGTTAGATCAACAGTTTGATTGTCGTTATTATTCTTAGAGGTAGACCTAGTGGATATGGCTTTAGATAGCGGAGGCTCCAATGCCTGAGGNTTGTCTTTAGCAAATCTAGAGACAAAGATTGATCTTCTCGGAAGAATTACAACCAAAATTTTGGTAGTGGCTTCAGATATATGGAATTCCGAGTTATTCGGAGGATCAATGTTAGATATGGATGGTAACGCTGTTAGATCAACAGTTTGATTGTCGTTATTATTCTTAGAGGTAGACCTAGTGGATATGGCTTTAGATAGCGGAGGCTCCAATGCCTGAGGGCATGGAGAAGAAAGATTGATTAGATCTAAGGGCTGAGATGGAGGATTTTTCTGTGTAGATTCAGTGACTATCTTTTTAGGTGGACTAATAACACGCTTACGCTTATTTTCTCGACTTTCCTCGGAGTTTGGAGGGTTGTCAAGGCATGTGAAAGACGTAAACATTTTTTCATAATGCTTACATCTTTCAACAAGCGCCGACAGATAATCCCGAACTACGAATAAATCGACTTCCGTTGATCGGCACTTTTGACAATTAATAGCGTCTAACACCCTACCGCTCAAACCAGCACATTTTATATGGCCAATCTCATCGCAAAGCCAGCATGACACATAGGCGTCACTCTTAACGTGACGATTGGCGTAAACACGACATATTTGAAATTATATCTATGGATATGTTTGTAGGTTTATATATAATATTTGAAGCAAAAAGGCAAACAGTTTTAAAAGCGATGTAGCAAAAGAAAACAATCAGCTGACTTGAATTCTATGTAGGGAACAGTTTTAAATACACTGTATTTTTGACACTTAATAAACACAAAGCAAACAGCTGTGGCAAGGATGAAATAGCAGAAATGACAAACAGAGCAAAATAAATGTGCACAAACAAACACAATTGTAATTATGGATAAGCAGAATCAATTCACAACAACAATATAATTATATAAAAGAAAAGACTCGACACACACAATTAATAATGTTATAGTAAATTGATCAAATTCACTAGAAATTTTGCTATTTTACTTCGCTTTAAATTGTGCACCAAACGTTTCTTGATACTTTTCACTTTACTCAATGTTAAAACTCTTGAAAAATAAGATATTAAATGAGAGCACAAACAAACACAACCTCACAGCTTTGAAGTTTGCTTAAACAGGTAAAAATTTATCTTTTCGCAAAAGTTACAACTTGCACAGCGTAATTTTAACACAAATTACACAGGCCGACAAAATAAGACCGAACTCCTTACCCAGAAACGAGACTATACTTTCCCGAAGGTTTTCGGTGCGCTGAATTCAAATCTGGCCACAGAATTGCTCTATCACATCAGGATTTTGAGATATTCTAACCTATAAGTGCAAAAAATGCCGTTTTTGCCCATTTTTGAAGTTGTGTATGCAAGCCAGAGTAATTTTTCTCAAAAAAAATACAAAAAAGGTTCAATTTAAAAATTAATTTTTTTTTTGCGTTTAATCGCATGGTTCCGGAGATTAACCCATATACTTATATAAACATAATGTACTTATGTATATGGGCAAATATAAAACACACGTACACTTCCAAAACAAAAGGTTAAATTTTTGATTTGTGGGCACACCTATGTTTTATACATGAATCGATATATATAGGTGTAATTCATTTTCATCAAAACAAAAAAAAAACAGACCGACAAAATTTTTACCCAGAAACCAGACTATACTTTCCCGAATGTTTTCGGTGCGCTGAATTCAAATCTGGCCACAGAATTGCTCTATCACATCAGATTTTGAGATATTCTAACCTATAAATGCAAAAAATGCCGTTTTTGCCCATTTTAGAAGTTGTGTATGCAAGCCAGAGTAATTTTTCTCAAAAAAATACAAAAGCCGGAACCATGCGATTAAACGCCAAAAAAAAATTAAATTTTTAAATTGAACGCACACAAATAAATTATACATCAAACTGTTTGAAATCCATTGAGGAAATATTAGATTCTTGTGTGATTCATTTTTCCAAATGCTTAAAGAGTTATAAGTAAAAAACGATAATTTATGAAAACTCAATGTTACTGATTTTTCAAGAAAGCGCAATTTTTGTCCGATTTCAAAAATTTTCAAGGCAGTATTTTAGAAGGTTAGACGCAATGTGTATATTAAATTTGGTACAGATTGGTGAAGTGGTTTTCGAGAAACAAACATTGACATAAATGGGCGGGCCAAATCCAGTTTCAGAAAAAATTTAGGAAAAACTAATTTTCGCTTAAGATCCATTGAAAATATAATTTTGCAGTAAATATTTAAAAATTCGTTAACCCCATTGCCCAATGATCTGAAAATCCTTTCATACACACATACAAATTCGTGGCTGTATTTTAGGCAAAAATTATTTTATGTTATTTTCAACGAATTTTGTGAAGAACGTTATCTAACGATCACGCTTAATGCCAACCTGTTATGTTTTAGTCTGTCAGTGTGCCATCAAAAAAGGGAAATTTTGAAGCCATTCACCCAAAGACGTATTCAGACAATATTTGTTATATTTCCAATATTTTCAAAGGCACGCAGCTGTAAAAGGTCTTATTTTTATCTTTAACTAATATGTATGCAAACATATAAAAACAATTTAGCAATTGCTGAAAGTTTAAAATGGAAAAGAACTTGAAATATTACATTTTTGATAATTACGAGTGACAGATTTTAAATTGTTTCAGTTTATTTCCAATCGGAAGTACATATTTTTCTCAACGCCTAATGCATTTTCCAATATTACATTTACTATTTGCCATTAGTTTTGAAAGTCTCCGTTTTGCGCTGAAAAAGTTATACTCAAAAAACCTCCAAAAGGTAGCCAAAATTGTAATTTTAATTATTTTGATCGCTTATAAAAATTAAAACGACATTATTACAATAAAAAAATAAATAAGTTACAAGAACTCGTCAAATAACATAAAAAAAATAAATAAGTTACAAGAACTCATCAAATTTGTTTTCAAAATGCCCCAAGTTTTTTATAAAAAGTAAAATTACTTTAATAAAATTAGTTTAAAGGTGAGTGACACAAAGCATACGGCTCCGGATATTTGCCCATATACTTAGTAATTTCTACTTAAGCAACAAAGAGTAGTCTATTAGTTTTAGTTCCTATTGATTTATAAGTGATTATACATAGTTTAAGAAATTTTATCACATACTTATGCACATGTACTGTAATTCATAACCTCTGGTTGTTGTGCATGTATTTATTAATATTAAATAAATAAATAAACCGAACTAAAAATTGATTTTCCTTAGAAACTAAGATGGAACCACCAAAGGACAAATGGAATTTTGTTTTGCTAATATTTGTTGTGCATGGCATAGGTACTTTAATGCCGTGGAATATGTTCATAACTGCCAAAAGTGTAAGTAATGCCGTATGTAATGCAAAGAGTTTTTTCATATTACTTTATTATTTTTGCAGTATTTTGTGGACTATAAATTAGCTGATGGAATAAACTCTACTAGCTCTTCGACCTACGCTTCAAACTTTTTGCAATATCATAACTTCGCCGCACAAATTCCTAATGTAGTATTTAATTGGTTAAACATATTTTTTAATTTAGGGTAATGAAATTTCTAATAGATTTTTACAAAATCTTTAGTAATTTATATTTTGCAGAGGTGATTTAACGAAGCGAATTGTTTTCAGCATATTGCTAGAATTAGCTCTTTTTATATTAACCGTAATTTTCGCTATGATCGACTCATCCAATTGGCGTGGAGCCTTCTTTTGGACTACTATGATCACTGTTGTTCTTTTAAATAGTAAGTTTTCAAATAAAAATTTTTTTATATTAACTTCCACACATATTTGTTTTTATTTCCCAGTGGCCGGAGGAATTTATCAAAATACAATTTACGGAATGGTTGCTACACATCCGTTTAAATATACTGGAGCCGTAGTTTTGGGATCAAATATATGTGGACTGTTTGTGTCGATACTGAGCATAGCAATCACGTCTATATTTCCATCGAAACGGACTGCAGCGATTTATTATTTTATCACAGCTATGGTCGTTTTGCTTGCATGTTTTGACACGTTTTTTGCATTGCCGTTAAACGTAAGTTCATTCAGCTGACCCTCGATAGAAGTAGAAATATCCTCTCACAAATAACTATAATTTTTCGTTTAATCTAGTAAATGCTTCGCCTATGCCGTACCACTAATTCCTATTTTAACCCCATAGTTTCTAATAATACCTAGTCATCAGAATAGTCATCCTAAACTTAAAAACAAATTCTGAAAATCGCACGTTATGATTTTTCCTGCTGGTTTTCTTCGTAAAAAAGGGAATCCTTCAGCCAGATTCCAACATTTGCTATCGCTAATTTTGATCGCCAAAAATCTCCAAAAGGATAGCAGACGCCACAATGCCAGATTTTGCTGATTACGCGTCGCTTGTGTTACTCTTCCATGTTGTATACTTTTAGGCCCTACCGCTTTTCATTTAGAGAATTCCACTGCCGATATATAAAATAAATGTAGTTAGTTAACGCCGCGACGCTCCAAAAATGTGAAAAAGAAAATTGTTGAAAGTAAATTCTGAGTTTGACTAAACCCAAAAAAATTATTATCAATATGTTGTTTGAAAAAAAAAAACTTTTATGTGGTGTGTTGAAGATGGTGCTTAAAAGGCTAATCATAATTTGTATATCAAATGTGGTCGAGATCGATCAAGTAGTTTTTGGGACGCGCACATATCATATAAGTGGGCGGTGCCACGCACATTTTCCTAAACTTGTATGAAAAATAATTTTTTTTTGCTTAAGAGCCATTGTATATATAAATTTTTAGTAAATATTGATCAGCTCCTTATCCACACTGAAAATCTGAGCTTCCGGTACATACACACATATAAATTCAAGACCGTAAATTGCCTAACTTCGACAATATTAATAATATTAATGCGATTGCATTAGAAGAGATGCAAATTTATTTGAAAATAAATATTCTTTTAGGTAAATACTACATGTTTGGCAACTTTCATAGAAATTTTTGAAATCAGCGATGATCAAGTTGAAAAAATAAGAAAAATAGGATCTTATTAAATTTATCCGATGAAGACTTCCAACAGGCTAAGTCTTACAATATATTGTTGTACATTAGACAGCTGCAAGAATGTAGTGGTTAGCATTTATGAGACAGTCGTTTGTGCTCCACACGGTTTGCTCATTCAACCCTTAGCAAGCAAGATGAATGATTGAGTGTACAGAGAATAGTAAGTACTGCTTTCTTGGTTAAAAAAAAAGAGACACATGTTGTACAAAGAGATACAAGACAGTTGTACTGCCGCCAATGAGTGTACGAATATCTGACGAAACACAGTGAATATTCGAATGTCTGCTATTGTCGCAAAGTAAATATTTGCCTTTTGGTAAACGGAAGCAAAAGAATTAGAAAAACTACCATGTAAATTGTATGTTTTACTATGTTTTTTTTTTTAATAATTCATTGAAAATAACCCATAATTAGATTTTTCCATAACTACTTAATAAATAAAATTCATTCGTACATTTATGTATTTCATTGTAAGTAAGAAAAGCAACATTTTTCAAGAACTAAAATTTATTTCTTCCTACATGCACACTTAGGTTAGGTTAGGTTAGGTTGAAGTAGCTGCTAGGCCCAGAGGGCGCCAGCACACTTAGGCCCGATCAGGGCCCATTGTGATACCACATGGATCCAAAAAAACCTCTACTCCTTAAACCAGTTCGTGGAGTCTGCGAACCTTAGAAACTGCTATATTCCAAACTTAGCAGTCGCGCTTAGATCGTCTAGAAGACCTATACCTATGAATTTCTGTCTTTTCCTGCATAGTGCTGGGCAATCGCAGAGTAAGTGCCTTATTGATTCAGGCTCTTCTTCGTCGTGGCAGCTTCTGCAGTAGTCGTGACTAACCCCGAGGCGTTCTGCGTACCTTCCTATCAGGATATGTCCTGTGAACAGACCAATGGCCAGTGACATATCGCCTTTATTGAGAGTGAGAATTTCCCTCGATCTCCGTACATCCCATTTTGGCCATGTAAGCTTCGTTGTATTACAGTTTTTAGTGCGCTCCCATCTGGAGGCCGCTTCTTCAAGGAATCTCTCCCTTAGTAAGAGCTTGCAGGAAGCGAGTGGCATACCCATCCTCTTCCAGGCTGGTGAAAGTGGAGAGGAAGTACCCGCCCTTGCAAGCTCGTCTTCCTTCTCATTTCCTGGTATGTCACTGNGCTCCCATCTGGAGGCCACTTCTTCAAGGAATCTCTCCCTTAGTAAGAGCTTGCAGGAAGCGAGTGGCATACCCATCCTCTTCCAGGCTGGTGAAAGTGGAGAGGAAGTACCCGCCCTTGCAAGCTCGTCTTCCTTCTCATTTCCTGGTATGTCACTGTGCCCCGGTACCCATACCAGGTGCAAAGCGAACTGCTCCGCCATCACGTTAAGTGATTTGCGGCAGTTGGCAACTGTTTCCGAATTTATAGTGACAGAGTCAAGCGCCATAAGGGCCGCCTGACTGTCTGAGTNCACCGCCGTAAGCGCCGTAAGGGCCGCCTGACTGTCTGAGTATATAACGGGTGATTTTTTTGAGGTTAGGATTTTCATGCATTAGTATTTGACAGATCACGTGGGATTTCAGACATGGTGTCAAAGAGAAAGATGCTCAGTATGCTTTGACATTTC